AATCCTAACACTTTGGGAGACCGAGGTGGTTGGATCACTTGAGGTCAGGGGTTCGAGACCAGCCTGGCTAACATGGTGAAACCTCGTCTCTACTAAAAACACAAAAAATTAGCCAGACCTACTGGCACATGCCTGTAGTCCCAGCTACTCAGGAGGCTGAGGCAGGAGAATCACTTGAACCCAGGAGGCAGAGTTTGCAGTGAGCTGAGATCCTGCCACTTCAGCCTGGGCAACAGTGACTCTGTCTCAAAAAAAAAAAAAGAAGATCCTCCCATCTTAGCCTCCTAGATGCTGGGATTATAGGCATGAGCCACCGCGCTTGGACTCATTTCTATACTGAGATAGATTAAGAAGTCAGAATTGTTTTATAAAAGGCTAAATATATAAAATACATGTTTTAAGTATGATATGACATCAATTAGATTGCTTTTTTTTTTTATTTTGTAGGGATTAAAGAAGTATTATAAGGAACTTCAGAACCAACTGAATGAGATTGTAGAGCTGGTAAGAGGAAAGTTGTCTAAGCAGACGAGGACCACTCTGGGGGCTTTGGTTACTATTGATGTCCATGCTAGAGACGTGGTCATGGACATGATTGAAATGGGTAGGTGACTTTTTCTTTGATTTTTAAAGATAAAATGTTGATAGCATCTGGAAACAGACTTGTACTATATGTATTTTTCTCTCAACAGAATTTTTTTAACACAATCTTTTTTATAAGTTGGCAAACGTGAATTATTTTTTAATATTTACTGTTATAAAAGATAAAATACTTATTTTAAAAATTATTTCCATGTAAGGATCATGTGTCTTATTTTACTTTGTTTTTTCTAGGTGTCTCACATGATACAGATTTCCAGTGGCTTGCTCAGCTCCGATATTATTGGGAAAATGAGAATGCCCGAGTTCGTATCATTAATTGCAATGTAAAATATGCTTATGAATATCTTGGTAACTCACCTCGACTTGTCATTACACCTCTAACTGACAGGTGTTACAGAACATTGGTATGCTTTTAAATTATCTTAATTCACACATTAACAATTACTTTTTGCTGTAACGACATCTTTTCTCACTTGTCTTACCTGCAGTAGTTGAATACAGTTATCCCTTTCTAATCCCAAATTCTCTTTATGCAAAATTATAATAATGAATATTACTTCTGGGTGCTTTTGTAGCATACAAGAGTGTTTACATTTTATCGTATGAAAGTTGTGAGTCACTCTGATTGGGGGTAATTAGAAAAAGGGAAGTATTGACAATATAATGACTAAACTGGAGCTTTGGAAAATGGTACCAGTTTTTGCAGTGGAGTCTTGGGAGAGATGACAGGAAGATGAGGAAAGTACATTTGGGCCTTAGGACACCAAATTAGTGCTGCTACATAGGATGGAGAGATGAAATGTACGGGTGTGGTGCTGAGACCTGAGATCCAGAGCTGAAGCTATAGAAGACAGAGCTGTAACTATAAAAACCCTGGGAATGTGGTTGCTGGATAAAATACAGGATTCCCAGGTAAATTTGAATTTCAGACAAACAACAAATAATTTTTAAATATAAGTAAATATGTCCCATATATTGCATGGGACATACTTACACTAATAAATTATTCATTGTTTATCTGAATGGTAGCAGTGGAAATTACCCAAGTCACATGACACCAAAATATGTTACCTGTGGAGCATATCTGTATCAGTACGAGACTGCAGCAACCTCAATTCTTACCTCCTCAGAAGAAAGAATTTGACTGAGGTGCATAAGGCAGAGAGACTGAGGCAGGGTTTAGAGCAGGAGCGAAAGTTCATTAACAAGCTTTAGAGCAGGAATGAAAGGGAGTAAAGTACACTTCGAGGAGGCCCAAGCAGGTGACTTGAGAGATCAAGTATGCAGCTTGACCTTTTGATTTTTATACATTGGCATACTTCCTAGATCTTGCATTACTTCTCCCCACTCACCCAGCTCCTGAGATCTTATGGGGAAGCTGCTGATCACCAGTTTCAGGTGTTTTCTATTTGTTAGGAGACTGCCCATCCCTGGCATCAGCTGTGACCATTTATTACTTCAGCGAGACAGTTAACAACCCCTGACCATCACCTGGTGGTCACCGGACATTCCTGGTGTGTGTGTGGGGTGGGGAGCGCTTTCCGGCTCTGCTCATACCTGACTAGCTACCCACTGTAACTGAATTTTTGTTTTGCTTTGTTTTGTTTTGTTTTGTTCTGAGACAGAATCTCACTTTGCCGCCCAGGCTGGAATACAGTGGTGCCATCATGGCTCACTGCAACCTCTGCCTCCTAGGCTCAAGGAGATCCTCCTACCTCAACCTCCCAAGTAGCTGGGACTATAGGCAGATGCCACCACACCCGGCTAATTTTTGTATATTTTTAAATAGAGATGGGGTTTCAGCCATGTTGCTTGCCCAAGCTGTTCTTGAACTCCTGGGCTCAAGCCATCTGCCTGCCTCAGCCTTCCAAAGTGCTAGGATTGCAGACGTGAGCCACTGGTCCTGGCTGTTTATCTGAAATAAAATTTAACTGGGCATTCTGTATTTTTATTTGCTAAATCTGGCAACCCTACCTACGGGAATTGAGAAGGAGCATCAAGAAGTACCACTCTACCTGTGCTGAGTAAGTGAAACTAAAGTGTCTTCGAATGAGTTCCCTTAAAACAGAAATGAAGTGGCAATTCTTGTGCAAAGGATTAGGTAATGTTCTTAGTAAAAACCTGTAGGGAAACAAGGACAGCACGATGGGACAGTAAAAAGCTAAGCAAAGGTGTGGTTTCAACAGACGTACAGTTGCAGCCTGATCTCACAGGGTGCTCTGAAGCATGAATGGCATGAGTTATTCCACTTCAAAGCCAGCAGGGTCTGGCTTTTGTACCCGTTTAATTTCATTGACTAAGGGTCACCCCTGGGGCAGGGATATAAGTAAGCTTTCAGGCATTTTCTTGCTGATAAGGAGAAAAGAGCAGCTGTGAACTATTTGCAACTGACACAGCAAATGGATGAATGCAATGGCTGGGTAAAGGGGCTCTGGGTAGGGCAACAATGGGTCTAGGAGAAAAGATTTCACCAAACTCTTTATTTTCTTGGGTAGCTGCCTGTGGGCAGGGACTATGTCTGTCTTGTTCTCTACTCTAGTGCTGAACAAGGACACATTATCCCTAAATATTTGTTGAGCAGATGAATTCAAGATAGGATGTCATATCTGTTACCTCTGTGAAGTCAGAAGCTGTGATATGCTTGTAAGGTGGAGGTTAACAACTTTGAGTTGTAAAAATGAGAATCATATTCAACACCTTTTCTTTTTCTTTTTTTTTTTTGAGAAGGAGTTTCGCTCTTGTGTCCAGGCTGGAGTGCAATGGTGGGATCTCAGCTCACCACAACCTCCGCCTCCCTGCTTCAAGCAATTCTCCTGCCTCACCCTCCTGAGTAGTTGGGGTTACAGGCATGCGCCACCACGCCCAGCTAGTTTTGTATTTTTAGTAGAGATGGGGTTTCTCCATGTTATTCAGGCTGGTCTTAAACTCCCTACCTCAGGTGATTCGCCCACCTTGGCCTCCCAAAGTGCTGGAATTACAGGCGTGAGCCACCCCACCAGGTCACTTTTTTTTTTAGTTAGACCAGTCTCATTTGTTCCCAGAGCCCGAGGTACGTGGTGTGGATCATTGGCTCCTGCACCATCCTAGCTCCCAGGTTCCAAGGTGATTCTCCTGCCCTCAGCCTCACATGTAGCCTGGGATTACAAGGTTGGGGTGGCCTTGTATACCTGGCCTAATTTTTTGTATTTTTAGTGAGACGGGGTATCGCCCATGTTGGCCAGGCTGTCTTGAATCCTGACCAAAGTCAAGTGTCCAACCTGCCTAGCCTCCCAAGTTCTGAGAAATTAACGAGAGGGCCAGTAAGAAGAGAACGCCCCTGTTGCCACACCGGATATCTATAAATGCTTAATCACAACTAGACTTGAAGAAAAGTCCCCCCTCCTAAATAATTATTATTCATATAAAGGGAAATGTTGGATGGAAACATTTATTTATAAAATTGAAAAGGAAAAGCCCGAGGTTTCCAGCATCCAGTTTAAGTGGGCTTAACATATGGGATCATTATAAAATTATAATCATAGGGTTGGGCCCGGTGTGGGTAGCTCACGCTAATAATCCTAGGCTTTGGGGACGAGGCAGGAAAGGGCTGCCTGAGCTCAGGAGTTTGGAGACAAAGCTTTGGGCAACATAGTGAGACATCTCTCTACTAAAAATAGCAAAGAATAGAACTGAGTGTGTGGCGTTAGCCCATGTAGTCCTAATTAGTCGGGAGGCCCTGAGGTGGGGGGTTATGCTTTGAGCCCAGGAGGCCACGAGGTGCACCTAGTCAAGATTCCACACTGCACTCCCGCCTGGGCAATAGAGCGGACCTGTCTCACAAATAATGATGAAGTATCACTGATATTGCTAAGTTTTCGTAAATAGCCTTGTCCTCTCTTGGGTTTTTTAAAATGAAGTAAAAAATATTTATCATTTTGGTGGTTTTACTTATTTTAAAAATCCGACCATTTTTTTTTTTCTCATTAAACTTTTTTACTGGGGTCGTCAAATATCCCTTGCAAAGTTTATTGGTGCCCAAGTTGTTTTCCCCATTAAAGTAAGACACAGAATTACGGGATTTTTAACACTAGTAATTAAAACTGCCACATGCAAAGGAAACCAATATGGTCCCAAAACATTCTCCTTTCCTTCTGAAGGTTTTACGATGCCATTGTTTATCGTTAACCGCGTCTTTTACTACTAAACTTAAATGGCCAATTGAAACAAACAGTTCTGAGACCGTTCTTCCACCACTGATTAAGAGGTGGGGTGGCAGGTATTAGGGATAATATTCATTAGCCTTCCTGAACTTTCTGGCAGACCTTGGGGACCTCGTTGCAGCTCCAGGCCAGCCCTTACTTGTCCACTGCTTTTGATAACACCACCGCAACTATCTGCCTCTATACCGAACAGCAAAGCTACCAAAGGGTAGAATAGTTGGAGAGCTCCTCAACCATGGGCTTGCACGGAACCATATCAACAATGGGCCAGCATCACCAGACTTCAAGAATTTAGGGCCATTCTTCCCGTTTTTTACCGGACGGCGATCAATGTTTTCCTTCAGCTCAGCAAACTTGCATGCCAATGTGAACCGTGTGGCAAATCACTACAGGGGCGAGCCAGGGCACTAATTTGGGCTGGATGGGTTCAAGGATAATCACCTGAGCAGATGAGCCAGCCTGCTTCATTGGTGGGTACAGTTATATATTTTTGCTGTCACCAGCAACGTTGCCACGATGAACATCCTTGACAGACACACTCTTGACATTGAAGCCCACATTGTCGCCAGGAAGAGCTTCACTCAAAGCTTCATGGTGCATTTCGACAGATTTTACTTCAGTTGTAACACTGACTGCAGCAAAGGTGACCACCATACTGGGTTTGAGAACACCAGTCACAGCCAACAGGAACAGTACCAATACCACCAATTTTGTAGACATCCTGGAGAGGCAGGCTTAAGGGCTTGTCAGTTGGACAAGTTGGTGGTAGGATGCAGTCCAGAGCCTCAGGCAGCGTGGTTCAACTGGCATTGCCATCCTTACGGGTGACCTTCCATCCCTTGAACCAAGACATGTTAGCACTTGGCTCCAGCATGTTGTCACCATTCCAACCAGAAATTGGCACAAATGCTACTGTGTCGGGGTTGTAGCCAATTTTCTTAATGTAAGTGCTGACTTCCTTAACAATTTCCTCATATCTCTACTGGCTGTAGGGTGGCTCAGTGGAATCCATTTTGTTAACAACAACAATTAGTTGTTTCACACCCAGTGTGTAAGCCAGCAGAGCATGCTCTCGGGTCTGCCCATTCTTGGAGATACCAGCTTTAAATTCATCAGCAGCAACAATCAGGACAGCACAGCCAGCCTGAGATGTCCCTGTAATCATGTTTTTGATGAAGTCTCTGTGTCCTGGGGCATCAATGATAGTCACATAGTACTTGCTGGTCTCAAATTTCCACAAGGAGAGATCAATGGTGATACCACGTTCCCGCTCAGCTTTCAGTTTATCTAAAACCCAGGCATACTTGAAGGAGCCCTTTCCCATCTCAGCAGCCTCCTTCTCAAATTTTTCAATGGTTCTTTTGTCGATGCCACCACATTTGTAGATCAGATGGCCAGTAGTGGTGGACTTGCCCGAATCTACGTGTCCAATGATGACAATGTTGATATGAGTCTTTTCCTTTCCCATTTTGGCTTTTAGGGGTAGTTTTCACGACACCTGTGTTCTGGCGGCAAACCCGTTGCAGAAAAGCAAAAATAGACCTTTTTTTGAGCAGTTTTAGATTCATAGCAAAATTAAGAGCAAAGTACAGAGTTCTCTTATTTCCCCTGCCCTGCTTATATGCGCAGCCTTCGTCACTTAGCCCTACTTTTTCTAAAAGAAGTTAAATTTGAAACTCCCATGAAATGGACTCCATAGTTAGAGCTGACTGTAATTTATGTTTCTAAAAATTTCCAGCCACTAGTCCATCATTTTGGGAACCCAGGAATAATTCAAATACTGCTGATATTGTCATTAAGCGCCTTAAAAACTAATTGATGAGAAAAAAAAAATGTACGTAATTAAGTATAATACAAGGTAGAAAGTGATACTACCAGTAATGAGAAATATAGAACAGTTTTATGGGAAAATAGAAAATGGAGAACATATCAAGTGTAAAAGGCAATAGCCAGGCAAATTATAGACAAAATTATATAATAAGTCATCTGTTTCTTTTCCCAATAATGGGTGCCATTTATAGATCTCACTTTCTGGTGTTTTACCTTCTTTGCGGCGAGCCATCCAGAATGTGTCATCATTGTCCTCCACAACCATCTCCACAAACACTTCTAATTAAAACCTTTCTGAACCAATTTTACCCCCACAAGGCTAGATTTTCTTTGTTTTTAAAGGCAAATGTGATACCTATGAAAGTGTCAGAAGACACGGAAGTTTTGATACCTTTTCACTTTTTTGAACATTTTAAAATGCTTTCTCTTTGAGCAGCTAGAAAAATTTGTGCTAAAAATTAACTGAACAATGTAATTATGTAATGGCTTCTCTGAAGCTACGGAACATACTAAATCCATTTGGTAAACAAGTGTCTGTTGATTTTTTAAATTTAAGCATGGATTTCTTTTCACATGTATTTTTCATTTCAGATAGGTGCTTTCTATTTAAACCTTGGAGGTGCTCCAGAGGGGCCAGCAGGCACAGGAAAAACTGAAACCACCAAGGACTTGGCTAAAGCTCTTGCTGTACAGTGTGTGGTGTTCAACTGTTCTGATGGGCTAGATTATCTAGCAATGGGAAAGGTAGTTAAATTGCTGAATCAATAATCTAGGTCTAATTGGATAAATGGAAGCAAACTCATTTTTAAACCTATGAATGTGGTTTGAATATTATTTGGACTTGCATTTTAGGAGTGAAGACATTGTTTTTATCCTTGAAACTTTTACTGAATTTAACTTTCAATTCTGACTTAAAGTGTTAGATATTTGTTTTAAGAGATGATATCCTTTCCTGAGAAAAAATTCACTTTCCTTTTTTCTTTGTCCTTAGTTTTTTAAAGGATTGGCTTCTTCTGGTGCTTGGGCTTGCTTTGATGAATTCAATCGAATTGAGTTGGAAGTGTTGTCAGTAGTAGCTCAACAGATCCTTTGCATTCAGAGAGCCATTCAACAGAAGTTGGATGTGTTTGTTTTTGAAGGGACAGAACTTAAGCTCAATCCGAATTGCTTTGTAGCTATTACCATGAATCCTGGTTATGCAGGACGCTCTGAATTGCCGGACAATCTTAAGGTAATATCATTCATTCATTCATTCATTCATGTATGTATGTATGTATGTATGTATGTATGTATATTTTTGAGCCAGAGTCTCGCTCTGTTGCCCAAGCTGGAGTGCAGTGGCATGATCTCGGCTCACTGCAACCTCCATCTCTCGGGTTCAAGTGATTCTCTTGCCTCAGCCTCCCGAGTAGCTGGGACTAGAGGCTCGTGCCACCACGCCTGGCTAATTTTTTGTATTTTTAGTAGAGACGGGGTTTCACCGTGGTAGCCAGGATGGTCTGGATCTCCTGACCTCGTGATTCGCCTGCCTCAGCCTCCCAAAGTGCTGGGATTACAGACGTCAGCCACTGTACCCCAGCCAATATTTTTTAAGAGTGTAAGTTTGTGAATTAAAAAAACCCAGCATAATCCATTCAAAATGATATTTTTTTCATAACATTGTAATTTCCCTCCCAAAACTTATTTAGACATCCAAAAAAATACTAACTGCATAAAAATATTAAAAGTACTACTGAAAAAAATTATAGTTTAGAAAAAGGTGCTGCATTTGGAGAATAAACTTGACAACACCACACCTTGAATGCTTATGCTCAGCTTAAAAACAGCTTCATTTATGTAAGTGATATATTTCATTTATTTTATACTTCAGGTTCTTTTTAGAACAGTGGCTATGATGGTTCCAAACTATGCCCTTATAGCAGAAATATCTCTCTACTCCTACGGATTTTTGAATGCAAAACCTCTGTCTGTGAAAATAGTAATGACCTATAGGCTTTGCTCAGAGCAGCTCTCATCACAATTTCATTATGACTATGGAATGCGAGCAGTAAAAGCCGTTTTAGTGGCTGCTGGCAATCTAAAACTAAAATACCCGAATGAAAATGAAGATATACTTGTAAGTATTAGATATATGCATTGTGAAAGTTTCAGTAGAAAGATAATTTTCTTTAGTGAGGTTAATCAGGAGCTACAATTAGGCACTTGAGAGGGAGGGTGAGCTTTGTCTTTTTATATGAGGTCGAAATGGTAGTTTTTTGGGTTATGTTATTGTTATACTTCATATGAATATGAAGACTTTTTGGCTCGATAAGCATAGTATTGGCTTTTTATTATAGGGATTCCATAAAGCAATGTAAAATAAACTTTGACTGTTGGCTAGGGAGTGCGGTGGGTCAGGTCGGGTCAGGGCGGGAGAAGTGGGGTTGCAAATGCTGGCAACTAACTTACATTGCACTTTTTGGGTAATTTTAGCTTCTTCGATCAATTAAAGATGTAAATGAACCAAAGTTTTTATCACATGATATACCTTTATTTAATGGAATAACTAGTGACTTATTTCCTGGTATTAAACTTCCTGAAGCTGACTATCATGTAAGTAAACACATGAGAAAGACTTATTCGGCATAATAAATTCGTCTGATGACTCAATTGTTTACCAAGATTTATTAAATGAGTGAAATTATTCTGTTTTGAGGAAAATCCCCTATTTTGACCACTTATTGTTAATAACAATAAGTAAATTTGGGTACCTTCTATTATATGATACCAAAGTTAACCTGTCAAGATGTAGGTTAAACAGGCCAGGCACAATGGTTCACACCTGTAATCCCAGCACTTTGGAAGGCCGAGATGGGTAGATCACCTGAGGTCAGGAGTTTGAGACCAACCTGGCCAATATTGCAAAACTCCGTCTCCACTAAAAATACAAAAAATTAGTCAGGCATGGTGGTGTCCCACCACTGCACTCCAGCCTGGTCCACAGAGTGACTTTGTCTCACAAAAAAAAAAAGTATTTATTATTATTATTATTATTATTGAGACAGAGTTTCGCTCTTTTTGCCCAGGCTGGAATGCAATGGTGCAATCTTGGTTTGCTACAAGCTCTGCCTCCCAGGTTCAACCAATTCTCCTGCCTCAGCCTCCTGAGTAGCTGGAACTATAGGCAAGCACCACCACGCCCAGCTAATTTTGTATTTTTAGTAGAGATGGGGTTTCTCCATGTTGGTCCGGCTGGTCTTGAACTCCCAGCCTCAGGTGATTCGTCCAGCTCAGCCTCCCAAAGTGCTGGGATCACAGGCTTGAGCCATTGTGCCTGGCTGAGAAAAAAGATTTTATTTTCTATCTTGTGATTTAAAATACTAGTATGCGTACTGTAATAGTATATTACACTATTGGGTAATATATAGTATTGCATACTAAATACTATTGTGTATTATATTAGGTAGAAATGAAAGTAGTAAAACGTCCTGTAGGTAACATAATAAGGCTTTGTGTCTCAAATTTAGGTAGTACACTCACTTTATTTTTAAAGGAAACAGTCCTAACACAAACACACACACACAGCAACTGGATAGTGATGGATATGTTAGATTGTGGTAATCATTATATAATGTATATGTTTGTCAAATCATCATGTTGCACCTTGAATGTATACAATTTTTATTTGTCAATTAAAAATTAAAAATAACAAAAAGACACAAACCACTCACATTTCCAACTTCATGTAATTTATACATATTATAATGAAGCCTAAATATGTATATACTCATCTGCTGCTTATAGCTGTTATAGAAAACCAAAATACAATTTAAAATTAATTACAGGCTAGGCGTGGCGGCTCACACCTATAATCCCAGCATTTTGGGAGGCCAAGGCAAGTGGATCACCTGGGGTCAGGAGTTCAAGACCAGCCTGGCCAACATGGTGAAACCCTGTCTCTACTAAAAATACAAAAATTAGCTGGGCATGGTGGTACATGCCTGTAGTCCCAGCTTCTTGGAAGGCTGAGACAGGAGAATTGCCTGAACCTGGGAGGCGGAGGTTGCAGTGAGCCGAGATCGCACCATTATATTCCAGTCTGGGTGACAGAGCAAGACTCCATCTTAAACTAGAAATAATAAAATAACATTACAAACAAAACAATCTCAAATTCAATTTAACACAATGAAATAGGTGATATGTGGTTGAAACTAATTTGTCACTTTACGGGAATTTCTATTGTGAAATATACAGTGAAGATTCTCTTGAGTTCAGCATTCATAAACCACCTTTTGCCAAGTGATGATTCAATTCTTCCACATCTTCTCTTTACTGATAGGACTGCAACATCTTTTTGTTTGAGCTGTCAAATCATTAAGACATCACTTAACTTAAAGTCATCTTTATTTTTTTGTCTGTTTTTTAAATTCTTATGCTCAAATACTAATATGCATTTTATGGCAGGTTAAGGTGGCGATCAAGATGATTCAGGATGTGCTAGTATGATTTTTAAACACCAGAATGAAAACACAAAATTTTAATATTTTCTTGAAGAACTCTTATACACTCTTATGAATACAGCAATGAATCCATAGATTCCAGTTGGAAAAATAGTGCTAAATTGCCTTCTTGCTTTTTAATGTGTTCTATATTTATTTTACTGACTTTTAGGTTTCAAAAAATGTTTGTCACTCCATTTTATCTTCTCTATTGGCTTTATAGTTTTACCTTGGT